TTGTAAAACTTCCTGGATGGAAAAGAAACGACTTCATACTTGTAAACAAAGTGCAATGGATTTTTTTTTTAGTTTTTTGGAGTGCTTATTATATATTTAAGCCCATGTAATGCTTTTTTTATAGTGAGCTAATACACTTAGAGCCCATGTTGACATACGAGGCTTAATTAAGACTTTTACATTTTTGTGGCTCCAGACAGATTTTTTTTTTGTCCAATCTGGCTCTTTTTGTTGCTGAAACCTGTTCTAGTCTAACAGTGACCACAGCCTTTTGGATTAAGAACTATAAAAAAAACAAAAGTTAAGGAAATGCAGTGAATGGCTTGAGCTATACGAACACAAAGCACACGATGGACTGTGTCATTACCCGATCCGTACCGGAAGCACGATCCGTACCATCAGCACATTTGCGCGTGCGCAAACAGAATAACTTCCGGTGGCCTTTTTCTTACTTTTTTATTCTTTTGTATTTTTTAGAGTCATGGGTTTCTTTTTGTAATCTTTGTATTTTCGTCAATATTGCATTTTCTAAAAATAAAAAAACAGAAATACATTCAATCGCCTTGTGATAGTTACTTTGACTGCTCTGAGCATGCGCAAATATACGTCACACAGCGTTTATATTTAAATTAGTTTAAATATTTGATTTACTCTGTACTTAACTATGCACTCCAGCAGTACTGATCCGACAATGGATTCATTTGCTACCTTTCGTGACCTGCAGTTTTTCATTGATAAGGGAACATTTCCCGAAAATTTGGATTTTTATTCCAGAAAAATGACGTCAAGCAATACAATGGATTGAATTTAAAAAGCATCCATTTCTTCCAGAAAAGTCTTCAATATTGTCTTTACGATGTAGTTTAGTATTCTTTAATTATTTAAGGATATAAATAAAGTTTTTTCAGTACCGTAATTACATTATTTTTTTTGGCGACCCGGAAGTTATTCTGTTCGCGCAGGCGCAAATGAGCTGATGGTACGGATCGTGCTACCGGTACGGATCGGGTAGCGACAGACTGTGCCCAAACTTAAATACAAAGGATTGTGGGATTCCTTACGGCTCCTAAGCAGCAGATAGAAACATCCACAGCTCCTTATGTTAAAGAACTAACGCGACTGGTGCAAAGTGTTGACCTCCGTACGTTGCGTTCAGTGGTATCATGTCAACTAACGATTATTTTGCAAATTGATTAATCTTATTATTTTTTTGATTAATTGGTTAATAGTCAGATAGCCAAAGGTTCCTTATAGAAAACTTTTTACAGAGTTAAACCAGGTGAAACTAAAACTTTTCTACTTAAGTTCTGGATAGAGCATATTGACAGATGGAAAAGTTGTTTTTTTTTTTACCGTACTTAAATGCAAAAATATTTCTATATTTTCTTACAATCTTGGTATAATTCCTGCTCTAAGTGTGTCGCTCTGCCAGCTAAATGCATGTCTCTGAGTCTCTATACTCCATTTAACGATATATCGATTACTAAATTAGTTGACGATTATTTTAATAATCGACTAATCCGATTAATTGTTTCAGGCATAGTGTAAATTGCCTGATGTTCCCACTTCATGCCGATCGGAGCAGAGCCGTTAGACGTCTATTTTAACTCAGGTTGCTTACCGAGTAGTTTGACCCGAGTCAGTGAGCCGTTCCCACTGCCACTACAAGCCGATTGTTCCCAGGTTTAAACGCAACCGTCGTCCAGAGGGAAACGGCCGGGGCTGTTTACGCTACAGGGGGAGTTTATTGTGAAAGTGTTTGTTAAAGGGATACCAAGCAGCTACTCAAGGTTTCTCTCTGGGATTATTAGCTGCTATTCTGCTGCTGAACCACTGGAGCTTCATAATACAGCCAGGTGTGTTTGCATGGAAGTTTGGTTAACACCTGAGAGGCCCTATCTGCTGACTTCTCCCCCATTATTTCCTAAACTTCTTTCATTCCTAAGAATATTTCCACATTAAGGTCATGAATACTTTGGCTACAGAACGCATCTATTCTGCAGCTTATTTATTCAAACACAGGATCAAACCTGTTTTTTTGGCTGCAGGAAGGTATTTTGAATAAAACCCTTGAGGGTCCAAACCTTTGGAAAGATACTCAGTTTAAGACATGTATTGTTTTTTGGGGTTTTTTTTGTATTGCAAAGATAAAAAGGGGAAGGAAAGTGCATATGACACACCTTTACATTCAGCTGCACAAAGTGGAACATAAAGAAACCGGAGTTTATAGAATGACTGCAAACTAGAAATGTAAAATCTTTGCTTTTTTCATCTTTTCCTTAAATTGTTTAATGATGTTTCTTTAAATTCTGTCTTTGAAACATAAGTTCAGTCATTAAACCACCTGTTAAAGCAGAAAGAAATAATTTAGAAATCCTTTGAAAAATCCAGACTTTTAAATGTATTTATTTATTTATTTTTTAAGATAAAAAATAAATGAGATTCTCTACAGCAGGAAATCCAGCATTAAACAAATCAGGCGCTCTGCATCAGGAGAGGGAAGGGAGGAAAGCTTTTTTTGGTTCGGTGCAGAAAGAAAAGCTGCTGTTTTCTGCCACAGAGCCAGAAAGAAATATTCTTTGGTTAAACGTTGACCAACAGCCATATCCACAGCAATATGGGAAGGAGTTTGTCCTGTAGAACAAAACCAATAACCGTAGAAGTGGGTTGTTGAAGGAAGTGGGTATTATATTCACTGATGTCTAAAAAGTGGCATTTAAAGAGCTTTCTATTGAATGTAGGCGGTTGGTTAAACAGCTGGAGGCCAACAGGATTCATTTGAGAAAAAAGCTGCCTGCAGGCTTCATGGTTTGATCTGCGCCGTTTATTTTTTCTGATTTATTGCTTCCTTTTCATCTGTTTCACAAACAAGCACATGCAAAGCTTCTGTCTCCAAACAGTAGCCTCATTTATACAAAGATAAATGAAAGGGGTCTCTTCCCGAAGCAAAGCTTCTGTCAAAAGATTGAAATCGTTGAATTAAAGCCTAGAAGGAGGAGGAAAAGCAGCTGTGGTTTATAAAACTGACTCTTCTTGTTCAGACTAGTTTTAAACTCGGGTTAAAAGAATCCTGTTCATGAGTGATGGGGGGACAGAGGGAGCTGGATTAAAGGACCGGGGATTTAAATATTATTATACTTTAGTGGTTTTACTGCTCTGCACTTTTTACTTTGATTGTAATAAAATGAGATTAGTTGAGAAAAATGTTTGGCTTCTGCATCCATCGTGAATAAATTCACAGAATAACAAACAAGCTCATTCCTTTTTAAAAATGGATTCAGCTGAAAGATTATTTTGCTTATTGTGTCTAAATGACTGTTTTTTAATTGAACCTACCATGACACTGTTTAAATTAAGCTAATCTACAGTCTTTTAGGGGAGTGGCGGCCTAGTTAGGATATTGAGCTTGGAATCATGAGGTTCTGAGTTCGAGTCCCACAGACTGACACTCTGGGTCCATGAGCAAGACCCTTAACCCCACACTGCTCCCTGGGCGCCCCACAATGGCAGCCCACTGCTCCCCAAGGGGATGGGTTAAATGCAGAGATTGAATTTTGTTGCTCTGTACTTGTGACAGTGTAATGATAATAAAAGCTAAAAAAAAAAAAAGAAAAAGAAAAGAAAATATCGTAAGTAGTTGACTCAGCCATTTTGGAGCCCCAGGCAAATTTTAGCCAAGAGGATCTGCTTCAATCCGTCTTCATGCCCCATTCGGTCCTAAAGGACTGATTATACTCCAAGCAGCAGTGTGTTGCACTGAGCTTGTCACATATTTTTTTGATTTATGGTGTGGTCTGCGCTACGTTATTCCACGCCACAACGCAAGAGGAAAAATCAGGAAATAGCTGTGGGTCTAAATACGGGCCGAGGCGGTGAGGAAGGAACAGAGGATCCAGGTGGAAAAGGGTACGCAGCGTTCTCGCACACCTCGCTCTTCTAACTGGTCCATCTTCACGAGTCAATGGCATTCATACAAACAAAACAAGCCGTTAAGGTACAAAACAGGAAATACGCATAGTGTAGAGCAGATGACCAATCAGAGGCCTCCTGTATGCGGTGATCTACAATTTTGAGGAGGTGCACCAGAGTGTCTGTGGAAGGGGGCGGGGCATTTCTGCATTAACTGTGACACAAACGCAGACGACCTGGTTTCTGAGTCTAAATCAGCCTTAAAGCCTGGTTTAAGTCCCTGTCCTGTTTCTCTGACTGTGACTAACTGGATGTGCTCTCTTCATCCTCTGACATGGGAGCTGGCTCAGAGCTCGTCTGCCTGGCTGTGTGTTTCCTGGACGGGGCCGCCTGTGGAGCTGGTTGACAGTTGCCTTTTGTATCTATGCTTCTTTTTCTATGTCTGCTTCTGTCTCCTTGAACCCCAGTGGGCCTCAGCAGATGGCCGCTCACACTGAGCCTGGTTCTGCTGGAGGTTTCTTCCTGTTAAAAGGGAGTTTTTCCTTTCCACTGTCGCTACAAGCATGCTTAGTGAGAGGAATTGCCTTTGAGTCAATAAGTCGATGGAATCAACTAGTTTTCCTTATATAGAAAACTTTAAATCAATCTGACTGGATGATACTAGTTGTGACTTGTGGCTACATAAATAAACTGAATTGAATCTTTTCTCTTTAACGCCTGCCTTATATCATCTAGTTATATTCTGTCAAGCTTTCTGAATGCTAACAAAACAGTAATTTCACATTGTTGCCTTAAAAGCTGTGTCCTGGATCGACTTTCCAGCCTCCTGAACTTCCTTTACTCATCCCAGCTTGTTCAGTCACTGTTGGCCCGCTGGTATAGATCAATCCTCACTGTGTTCTTCTGCCTTTAAGTTCCTCTTCTCCTCACTCCTCCCTTTTGATCACTGATCACTACCCCCGCCCCCCCCAAAAAATACACCTTGGTCTGTATGTGAGCTTGGAGCTGCCATTCGGGAATGCAGGTCTTGGTTTAGTGGAGCAGGCAACAACAGGTCTGACCTCCTGAGTGGCTCGTTGTTGAAGGTACCGGTGGAAACAGGCAGGAGTCTCTTAGCAGTCCTGGGCGATAAAGTTCACTCTGATAGGATTTATTCAGCTCTCTGCCATGGAGGCCATGTACCTGCTGGACAACTGGAGAAAGGTAAAAACTGTTAACAGAGGTTAACATTACAACTGGGTTTTCTCTTTAATTATTTTTTCCAGCACAGATGTTTGCAGATTAAATTTCAAATATTTCCTTTTGTTTTTTGGGGCTGTTTTTAGTGAATCTCTGCTCGGTGCTTCCTTCAGGCTGACTCCACTGAATATCATTTCACGGTTCTGGTAGAAAAGCAAACATGAGGATATTTGCTGCAGTGTTTAGATATCCTGAGGCCAAAGAACATCAGAAACATTTTTTCTGTCCCAGCTGCAACAACAGTTTACTCGTGCACACATCTCCACAGCGACAGGGATAATTATGGGCTTTCTAACCTCTCCTGCATGCCTAACAACACAGCGGCTCATGCCTCGTCTGATATCTGCAAAAAACATACTGTCACACATTTATACAGAATCCAGTGGTATAAGGATGGTGCTAATAAAGACAGTGATGCTATAAAAAGAGGATAGGTCTTAATGGAAAATCCCAGAGGGACCCCCGGGAAGAAAGGTGGCTCTATGGGGATTTCTTTAAGCAGACAGGCGGATGTTTAGTGAATTTATTAACTTGTGGTGATTTTAAACGTGTGAGTACTTGTTTAAGTTATCCAGTTAGGACCGGTTTGTTGTTTATATACTAACCTCATGAGGACCAACAGGACTTATGGGGTCTGAAGACTGGTCCTAATGTGGCAGACCCCCATTTTTAGCCTTACAGAGTCAGTTTAGAAGAATGGTGTGACTTTAGGTGTAGCTTAGGGTCAATGTCAGCATTTCATAAACACAGTAACTTGATTATAACTCAATTTAAAGTCTATGTATGTATAGAAGTATAAACCTGTGTGTGTTCATGTTTTAACTATCTTATAGGGTCGACTGCTCCTTGTGGGGCCCAATAATGGGACCCTATGAGGGGAATCGTTCCTTTTGGGTCAGGGGTCACATTTACACTGCAAAAATGATCTACAAATGAGTAAAAAAATGCTTAAATTAAGTGTATTTTCCTTTAATTTGAGCAGGTAAATAAGATGATTTGCTAAGGAATGGGTATTTTTACTCTTAAAATAAGATAATTAGATAACATACACTTGAAATGAGCAATTGTTTTTTCTTATCTTGAATATAAATTGTCTTGTTCCATTGGCAAAGTTTTTCATTTGTGTCGTCAATTCAAGAACAAATGCACTAATTTTAAGAAGTACTTAGATTTTATTTTTTGCAGAGCAGGACTAAGGTGTGAATTGATTTTAGGTTGGGGTTAGGGAATAACCTGTAATGGTTAGGGTCAGAGTTAGGCTGTAGGAATCAATGGAAAGACCCCACAAAGATAGAGACACATGTTTGGGTGTGTGTGTGTGTGTGTGTGAGTGTTGGGGGGTGTAATCCGTCTGCCATCTGTTTTCTATCTTTGTGAATCACACCTTGGATGTGAGGGTTTGTAGGCAGACGGGAGAGAAGGGAAACCCCGGTTGGTAGAGTTTGATGTTCATGCTGTCGTCCTTCTTCCTTCCCAGGACCTTCATGTGTCGCAGGAGGCTGTGGACAACTCAGTGGACATGGACCGCCTGAACAGGAACGTGCCTGAGCTCGGACGGCAGACTCACCAGGTGTTACAGGTGAGCGTGTGCTTAAGGAGGAGAAGGAAGAGAGTTCGAAGGCTGTAGCAGAAAGACAGCAGCAACTGATGTCATTTCTGTTGATGTGACAGATTCATGTTGCTCTAACCAGTGGGGAATTTACTATTGGGCAATACTAGGCAGTTGCCTAGGACCCCAAGTTCCTGGGGGCCCCATAAACCTCTGTCTACATGTATGGTTAATATAACTTTTCCTTATTTGTGAACATTAATTATGTTTTTGATAAAAATCCTTTCTCTAAAATGCCATCAGAACGCTGATAATATTTAGTGTGTCTCAGCCCCCCCTTCAGTGTCCACCATATTGGATCAGTCCATTTGCTGCACATGTTCAGAAAGGTCCAAACAGACAGCAGCAAACCATTTGAAAACAAACCATGCAAAGAGCAGTGTTGCCAACTTAGCGCTTTAGTCGCTATATTTAGCCACTTTTCAGACCCCTCTAGCACTTTGATTTCTGAAAAGCTCCTAGCGCCAAATCTAGAGACTTTTTTCTGCTACTGGAGACTTTGGAGACAACATCTAAAAGCAGCGAACTCTGCTCTCCAGAGCGAGTAGATTGGTAACCCCGCCTCCTGCTCTCCTCTATCTTGTCTGCTGTCATGATTCATGCAGCTATTATTTCATCCAAATGAAAAATGGAGAACAGATAAGCAGATCATGGCTTGTCTACAGTGAAAAGAAGGACTGGGTTATTTACTTTGGCCTTTTTGGAAACACAGGAAGGAGCAATCAGCTAAGTGAGCTTAGTGCTTGGAAAAAATCTTTCATTCCTTTAGAGACAGCATGAAAAGTCAGCTGAGTACAAAACATAGAGAGGAAAAGGGACAAAACCTAGAACAGATAATGGATGTCTATTCTATTAACATTTCTCTATCTGTAGAATGGGGCTGTTTTATGTGTCATCTTCTCAATTCAGAGGGCCCCCTGCCTGTCTTTGCCTAGGGCCCCATATTTCCTAAATCTGCCCCTGGTTCTAACTCCCCTAAGATGATAAACACGGTTAACAGCAGTCAGTGTGTGGCTAAGCACCCTGGGTAATCAGACAGACGGCTACAAGGAGGTCTTTGTTTCCCACCTGCTGCCTCCAACAATCCGATTAGACCTTAATGGGAGAAGTCTGTGTGAGGAGTTCTCCTCCTTTACACTAAACTGAAAAAGATTGGCAGGAGAAGTTAGAAGAATGTTGAGGTTAAATATGGCCGAGCAGAGTGACCTCACTTCACCACTTGGGAGCAGCAGCACACAGCAGATAGAAGAGTATGAATCCCAGCGCCTCCCCACTGCTGCCATCACTCCCTCTCAGCCTCCCCAGCATAACTCAGTGATCCTCTTAGGCCTGACCCCCCTTTACTGTTAGACCACCTCAATCAGTTAATCCCAGACAAACACAAACAGCAGGAGAACCAGCCAAGCAACCGGGTCAGTGGTCCAATCGCAATTTGGACACAAACAAACAGAGAAGCTGGGAAGAGGCTAAAAGAAAAAAATGCAGCCAAGTTATGTTTTAAAATGCAAAACTGTGCAGAGATCACATCAGCTGGACCAGGACAGAAACACCAACTGAAAATACCGAAAACATTTGATTTATTAGAGATGAAACCAGCCTGTTGAGACAGACTGGAACCAGTTTCTCCACGTAATAGATGACTAAGGTTATACATTATCACTATATTGCATATATTGCGATATTTTCCCTGCTATCAAAATAAAATGTATAGATAAAAAAGCAACATCTGTTTATATTCATCAGATGATATTGATTGTTCAGTTATTTTGGTGGCCATGTTGCTTGGGTTTTGAGTCAGTCCACATCTTCCACTGTGACTGTCTCAACTATAGATATGGCCGCACAGCGCCATCTGCCATACTGGCGGTGCAAAGGCAGCCCATTTTCCCGCAGTTTTAGGTAAAAATGTTTTGCTTAAAATCGATATTAGGAACTAAAATTTTGATATTATATCAGGAAGCCAAATTTATTTTTTCCACACCCCTATAGAAGACTGTTTTTTTTTATTTATTTATTTAAATAAATTTTTGTTTACATGTGGAGCAGTAGTTTTTGGTGTCGATGAGATGCTGGGTCCTGTATTAATACAACAAGCAGCATAGAATCATTATACCAGATAAATCTGCCATTAAACAGCAGGCTGACATGCTGGACCAGTTCAGTTCATGTACAATGGAGCCTTTTTAATGCTAGAAAAAAGCTGCTTGATTAAATGACATAAAACCTTGTATGTACACCAACACTGAGGGTTATAAAGTCATAAATCTCATATGATGATCTGTGGTTACAGATGGTTACAGTAAAAAAGTTATATACAGATTCTCTTCTGTCAGAATGAAATAGAAAAAAAGGCATTTATTATCCTTAACTTTGCTCACAAATTCTCTTTCGTGTGCAGAAAGCTTAAAAAGCTAAAAAAAAAAATAAAACTTTTTCCATCTGTGGATCTAAAAAGATTTTGAAAAGAAAAATTGGGTTTTATCTTAATGATCAAAGCTACAGCAGTTTCATCAAAACCATCAGTTAAACATATAATACATCCACAAATTGTCTGAAGTGGTGCTGAATAAAAACAATAATTTTACAGTAAACAAAAAAATGTACAGGTAGTATATCAATAACTGTTTTATATATTTTCAGTGGTCCAAAATATATAAATATTTACTTCTGGTTACCGTGCCAACAATGACACAAAATGATTGTGCATCAATAAGAGTAGTAGGATGAAGTGACTTAAGATGAAGCTCAGAAAGGCAATTGGTTAGCATTAGCATTAGCATTAGCATTAGCGGAGCTGGCAACCAGCTTGTAAACAGTAGAAGAAAAAAGCGAGTAAGAAAAACCAGTTGAAACTCGGTGTTCTGTCAGGGCAGCATACAATACGCATTACATTTTTGTTGTAGTTTTATGCATAAAACAACAAAAAAAAAGTCCTTCACTAGGTCTGCTAGACACATTAGCTTTAAAAACAAACATCGCATGTCCGTTTGAAAAGGGTCTTATTGAAGAATAATCTGGATTTTTTTCCCAGAGAATTTAATATTTAAAGGGAGAAGATTCTACAACTCGGCTGACAGGACATGAGGTTTATTTGTTTTCAGTTTGTTTAATATGGGCGAGATGCGGATCATTTTTTAAATTTATTATTTTTACATCACATGAAGAACTACTGAAATTATTTCAGATTTCAATTAAATAGATTCATTAATTCTGCAGTGGAAAAGGAATTACTTTAGGGTTAGGATTAGGATTCACACGATGCTAACAACCTACTGAGCCTACTGGCACAATCTGAAGCCATTCTATGGGACCAAGAGCATGCATATTACTAAGAGCATGCTGGCGTGATGGAGTATGCTGTGCTGTCAGAGCACAGGGAACAATTGGCTGTTAGTGGCAGTGGGAACAGCTCACTGAACCGTGTCTATCCGGGTCAAACGACTCGGCAAGCAACCTGCGTTAAAATCGCCTCAGCTCTGATCAGCACGCTGTGGGAACACCAGGGCCTGGTTTACCGGCTAAGCACCGTACGGATGTCAACACACGGCGCCAGTCGCTTCTTGTCTTAATAGCAGAATCAACTCTGTTTACATTCGATATAAACGGAGCAGCTCTGGTGAGAGGGATTCAGACAGATAATAGAGTGAAACAATAAAGCACACTGACTACGCCCTGGCTTCCTTCCATGTTGCTCTCCATTGTTTACTTTCCTGATTTTTGTCGTACTGGTAAAATCATCAATGCTAAGCCAGCCTGATGATGTCACACCTTACTGGCAGCCACATAGCTGCCAGTGAGGTGTTGGATAAGCTTTTTCAGCCAGTGGTAAGGGAACCAAATGCAGATTGTTAGTGGGTCAACCCATGTTTGAAAAACCCATGCTAACCCTGTAATTTCAGTGTGAAAGAGGCTTAAGAGGGAGAGAGGAGGTAAACTTGTAGCTTAGTAGCTATCAACTTTAAGAAAAATTATTCAGTTTGAAAACTTTACTAACAAACATTTTTGAAAGAAACCTAATCTTCCACAGCGTTTAAAATACATGGACACAACTTTCTGGAAAGGCTGAATTTTATCAAGCTGCGACCCAGTTAACGTGCTCAAAGCATAAAGTTCTTTACTCAGCAGAAAAAAAAACCTAATTTATTCAGTGTTTGAAACCCTTTGCTGGTCTAGCTTTAAATTGCTGTGCTGGGATTAATTCAAACGAAAAGCAAATTCACTGAAAAGCAGAATTGACTTTATGTTCAGGCTGTGCTGACGGCACCTAACGCTAGTTAGCTCTCTAATTGAGGATGGGTGTTGCCATGGCAACCCCCCCCTCCCTTCAAATGTGAGCTTAAGGCAGAGCCTATAATAGGAAGAAAACCCCACTCCCACCCCACCCCCACACCCATACCCTTTGCCTGGTGTGTAAACAGGAAGAAAGTGGGTGGTTTAAATGAAGGGGAGATAAGAAGAGACCCTCTGTGTGTCTCGAATGCACAAGGAAAGCTGTAAATTCTTTAATTAGCTAATTGTATTATCATCATCATCATCATCATCATCATCATCATCATCATCATCATCATCATCATCATCATCATCTTTCTGTTGAAATAATGACATCTTGTCTAATGCTTGTTACAGAGTACTCCACTGGATTTAATTGAGACCGGAAAGGGCCTGAAGTTTCAAGCGGAGCGCCCCCACCTGGTCAGCTTAGGCAGCGGACGACTGAGTACCGCCATCACCTTGCTGCCCCTGCCTGAGGGTGAGCCAGCTGTTTGGACTCTAACCCAACCAAGCACTGGAATTAAAACGGAGAAGACAATTGTGCTTTTATTAATGTACTTCTTACTTTTATTTTGCAAATATTGTTTAAATTGGAAAAGTTGCAACAGATGCGGGGACAGACGGGGACTAATGTCTCCCTCCTGGCCTCCCCATCCATGAACTGTCTTACTCACACCTCTCAGTGTTTATTGTGGAAGCAATAAGATTCACTTTATTTTTCATTGTTTTATAAAGGAGCAATAACCAACTGAAGGCCCTACTGTTTAAATAGTAGAGGAGATTGGTGTTCTGAAAATTCCTAAAAACATTTTAGTCTAAAAAAAATAATTTTTATATCAGGATGGATCTTAAAGTCTAAGCCAATAAAACAATTCACTTATATCTTATTCTCTTCAAAAGGCTCACCTGTGACAACAAACACCAACACTGTATTGGTCGTTGCTTTTTCCAATGTGATGTTAATTAGGAAAAAGAAAATCTATGGATCTTTGGTTTACCTTTAAATTTAAATTGACAGATTTATGGAATAAATTACAAACTCAGTAAGACATGTCAGTTTCAATTAAATTCTAACTTACAAAAGAAAATGAGAAAAATTAATTTACATTCTTATATTGAATGCCCTGCTCTATGCTAACCTTGTAGCTTCAGTGGGTCCTAACTGAAAGTTCCTGATTTTTTTTGGTAATATGCGACAACCAACATCAACTGGATTTTTTCCAATAGTTACGGTAACACCTTTTTCCCTATATTAGAATATATTTTTGAGTTTCAAACATTGTTCTTATTAAATAAGAACCGGAAGTGGAGCAATACTGGGCGACACTGGGTGAAGAGAATGGCAGAGACGTCTTCTGATCACCACCTGGTGCTTAGTTGGACAAGCTGGAAAAGGAGGAAGCCTGTCAGACTCGGCAGTCCCATGTTAGTCACGAGGCTCTTCTTGGAACATCTGGTGGAGCCTTTAGTCAGGAACGTATTCAGCTTCCACCTCCTACAGACCTTCTTTTAGATTTTGGACACATGGACTATGTTGGAATGTCCGCCCTAACCCCTGAATCCCTCAGTCACTGTATAGAGCGGGGACTATATGGTGGACTTTATAGTAAACTCAGTTAACTGACCGTTTGGACAAATGATCACTACTTTTCGCTCCCCTGCTGTTCGCGTAACTCCGCCAACAATGACGAAGTTCCTTAAAATGGAGCTTAGAAATGACAAATGGCTAGCGTTAGCATTAGCATAAGTGGAGATGGCAACCAGTCTATATACAGTACGAAAAAAAAGTGGGTTAGAAAACCCTGTTTAAACTCGGGAACAAGTGGCAGTGGAAACAGCTTGACCTGCTAATTTACATGATATTATTGAACGCAACGTACGGACGTCAACACACCACGCAAGTCGTTTCTGATCTAAATACCAGAATCAACTCTGTTTACATTCCATAAACATGGAGCAGCACTGGTGAGAGGGATTCGGACAGATCACATAGAGCGAAACATTAAAGTAAACTGATTACGCCCTGGCTTCCTTACATGTTGCTCTCCATTGTTTACTTTCCTGATTTCTGTCGTACTGGTGACATCATCCCCACGCTGTGACTGTACCATCTTTGTTGTTAGTCGCCACGGCCACAACAAATCCTATGATGTGTTACCAGGAGAGCTCTCGCAAAGCAATCAGGGACATATCTACTTATCTAGTGACCATCGATGATCAATACTTGGCAAAGTGTAGTGTGCATTTATCATCCATTAGATGCTTGGACACTCATCTAAAATGGCGTAGCCACTATATAGTGCCCTATGTAGGGGATAGAATGGACTTTACGACACAGCCACTGAGCCTGAGTGGACAATGTTGCTCTCTACCTTTTTTGTCCATCCGTAGCTTAGGCCGAAATGTCTGGAGTGTTTGTGCGGTACCTGTTACTGTAGCATTCCCACAAACCCAGTGATAGAAACCGGTAAAAGGGGATGCCATCACGCTGATGAAGGAGACATCATGAACATAATTGGCTCATGGGACCCTTAAAACAGCATGCAGGAATAGTATGCCACTGCCCAGATAGTCACATAGGCAAGAACTCTAGCCTGATAGGAGTTTGAAAAGACCACAGAGAAATCTGTCGGCCCTTAAAGCAATTCTGGCAAACGATCTGGCACTTCATGAGGGCGAAGCAATGCTTTTCTGACACTGTTTGTAGTGACAATGGGGATCTGCTGACCCTAAATGAGGACATTGTTGACAATGGAAATAATATTTTTAGGATTTCCTCAACCTTCATGACACGCCTTCAGTGGCGGAGGAAGAGTTTGGGTGCTTGGAGCAGGGTTCGATCATCAACCAGGCTGAGGTCACTAAATGGTCAAAAAATGTCACAGTGACAAGGCTTAATGGATGAATGAGGTCCTGTGTACCTTAGGTTTATGGATGTTGTTGGGCTGTCATGGCTGACATCTCTGCAACAGTTTGAGGGCAGTGCCCCTGGATTGGCAGACTGGGGTGGGAGGGTGCGTTCCAACTATAGGGGATCACCTCAACCTTGTTGGGAAGGCCTATGCCAGGCTGCTGGAGAAGAGAGGCTGGCTGATTGTCAAACTCTGGCTTCAGGAGGAGCGGTGTGGTTTTCATACCAGCCTGGGACACTGGACTACATCTTCACCTCTGCAAGGTGCCTAAGAGGTTAATGGGAGTTTGCCCAAATGTGTTCTGTGGATGTCTTCCTTGTGGTGTCCTGTTCTACAGAATTGGACGTTTACCAGGGCCTGTCCAGTCTATGTAGAAGCTGAATATGAGGTTGGTCTGCACTGCCTGCATTAAGTCTGACCTGTTCCCAGGGCATGTTGGACTCTGGCAGGGCTGCACCTTGTCACAGGTCCTGTTCAATACCTTTATGGACGGGATTTGGACAGGATAGGCACAGTCAATGGCTTAATGGGGTCTGCTGGCTCCCAACTGCCAAGATTTACAGTGTGCATTGGGGCGGCTCACAGCTGAATGTGAAGCGGCCAGGATAAGAATCAGCTTCTCCGAGTCCAAGGCCATAGTCTCTACTGGAAAAAGGTGGCTTGCCTTCCGCTGGTTGGAGAAGAGCTCCTGCCTCAAGAAGAGGAGTTTGAGTATCTTGGGGTCCTGGAGAAACGAGCGGCAGATCAGTAACTGGATTGGCTGTCTCTATAATGCAAGCTGCAGCAGTCTTGTGTGGTGAAGAGTGAGCTGAGGTAAAAGCCAAAGCTCTTGATTGACAGGTCATTCCAGATGATACGTCACCCATGGCCTTGAAATGTGGATCGAACGAAAGAACGAGATCCTGGATACAAGCGGATCAATTGAAAAAAATGTCAGGTGCTTTTACAAAAATGCTAAAAGTCTTTTCCACCATATAATTTAACCATTGACCATTGATCTGTTTTTTAACATCAGTCCAAAAATTATTTAACTACTCCGGCCTCATCCAATTAGACATGTCTAATTACATAACCCAATAAATGCACTAAAGAGGAGATAGAAACACATTTATCGAATAAGTTCAGACGTAGTGAATCTTTACATGACTTATTGACTGTTTCTGCTGCCGGTGTCCTTAAATCCAGCATTGAATAGTTAAATACATACTTCTTTTGACATCATAGGATGGCATGATGCACAGCAAATACTAGCTGACATGATAAAGGGAAGTACAACTTTCCTGACTGTACCATATTTAATAAAACTTTGCTCCATACCTGACCTTTGTGTCATAATTTCATCAAGAGCTCGGACCCACATGCAGAAAAACCAATTCAGAGAGACCAGGGAAAAAGTTTAACAGGTTTATTGAGGAG